CCCAGCTCCACCATGGTGACTTGGAGGATGCAATTAGTCTTTAGTCACCTACCAAGCAAACCCAAACATGTGCTTCCAGCAGGGCTTTAAATAGCTGTCCAGGCTGGGGGCCCATTGTTTGATAGCTCCAGTGTGAATTCTGAAAATAGGAGGTTTGGACAGGATTTCCACTTTTGGAGGAGTAGGAAATGAAATCATATTTTAATAAAGCTCTGTTTAGGGGTGTTTTGTCTCCATGTAGGCTTTGTTAAACAAGAAAAAGTCTGAAGAGTTCAGCTGCTGCCCTTTTGACTGCACCCCAGATCACAGGCACAGGTAGGAGTTAGGTGGACAGGTCTAAGCTGTACATTAACTTATCTGCTAATGACTTGTAGCTGAGAAATCTCCCCTGCTCTGGTGCTCACAGATCTACATTGGTACCATGCAGAGGAAGCAGTGCCATCATGCTGATACATCTCATCTCTTTAGGGATAAGACCAGAGCACCATGTCTTCATTTTTCCTTCTGTTTTCCCCAGAGCAAGCTTCATGAAATGTCCCCATTCATTCCCAGTAAGGATTTCTTCAGTTCAAGAGCTTTTGTCTCATTTAAAATAATTTTTAAAGCATGGTTTGATGTGTAGATGAGGAATTCGTGTTATAGCAGCAGAATTAGTCACTGTACCCATCCCTGCATAGACTGAAATAGTTTTTTAATTTCTGTATTTTTCCTGCAATATGTTGGTATTTCTCAAAACAGCTCCAAGCCAAGAGTTGTTTCCAAGCTACATTTAAAGTAACTGAGGAGCAAGAGGAGAAATAGGGTAAAATGCAATGTTGCTGGAGTTAAGGGATGGATTATTTGACTTTTATCACAGTCAAGACAGCATATAAATGACCACATTTGATACTGTGGCCAAAAAAATGGTTGAAGAAGGGAAATATAGCCATGCAGTCTGAGATGTCAGCTAGTGAGAAACACTGTTAAGTTTGTGAGGACAGTTAAAACTTGAGCAAGGATCCTTTTGGATAGTACCAGCATGATGATACTGAGCATTTCATCATTTCTTTTGCTCTTCTGGCCAAAGGGCTGATTTCTGGAGAAGACTGATGGCAATCAGAAGGGGTGCTGGGCAGTGCTGGCAGCCTGGTGGCATTGTAAAGCATGGAGATTTCTCATCCCTTCTCTGAGGTGCTCTCGTCTGTGTGATTTATTCAGTTACATGTGTTTTCAGCCTATGGAAATGCACACCTTTGTAAATAGGCTCATTGCTCTTGACTGTCCTGGTTTAACCCCAGCCAGCAACTAAGCCCCACATTGCTTTCTCTGGTGCTGTGGGGGAAGAGAATTGGAAGAGCAAAAGTGAGAAAACTTGAGAGTTGAGATAAAGCTAGGTTAATAGATACAGCAAAAGCCACGTGCAGACAAAACAAAACAAGGGATTAGCTCCCTACTTTCCATGGGCATGCAGGTGTTCAGCCATCCTCAGGGCAGCAGGGCTCCATCACATGTATTGGAGATTTCCTCCTTCTTTCCCCAGCCATGACTCCACATGGTCTGGGATATCCCTCAAGTCACTTGAGGTCAGCTGTCCTGGTCATGTCCCCTCATAACTCTTTGTGCCCCAATCCTGCTCACTGGTGGGGTGGGTGAGAAGAAGAAGAGGCTTTGGGTCTGTGTAAGCAATGCTCAGCAGGAGAGACAATATGCTTGGATTGTCAAAACTCTTTCCAGCTCAAATCCAAAGCACAAATCCCCACACTAGCTACTGCAAAGAAAATTAACTTTTTTCTACCACTGACACACCCGCAGTTTTTTCTTTCTCCCTTTTCAATGTCAGACGTTTTTCTGTTCCCCATCTAGGCAGGTATATGAGGGAGTTAGAGCAGGCCATAGTGGATGGATATAGGTAATGGAACCTGATGGGTGATAAGTGCATAACTTGGTGCTTAACCCATGTTAGAAGAAAGCTCTGCTGTCTGCCAGAGGGAGCAGAAAGATGAGGCACAGCAGCAAGACTGTCTGTTCTGGCACTGCCTGGAGCTCTGTGTGATTGTGGACAAGTTACTTAACCTTGTGAAAACAGATTTGGTTTTGCAGTGATAACCACTTACCTCCTGAGAGTGCCAGAAAGCTCAGCTCCCTTCTGGTAATGCTCTGGGACAAGGGCTGTAGAAATTCAGATATTAGTCCAGGCCATTGGACCTTTGATGTGGTGAGAAGTGTTGCCCCACTGATGGTTCCTTCAGAAGATTCCTGTACTGGGGACACGTTTGCTCCCATTGTTCCTGTAGCCATTTCAAAGCAGGGGGCAGATTCCTCTTGAGCAATCTTTCTAGTATTGTCTGCTCTTGTTACATACTGGCTCTCCTTTCATTTGAGCTGCTTGCCAAAAGTCAGAACCTGTCCCATGCTCTTATCCCCACGTCTGACATCTCAGATGTGAGGAAGCAGAATATCAAAGAACTGAAAGCAGTTGCTCTTCTGAAGAACATTCCCTAGGGTTTAGCACGATGCTTGTTTGATCCTTTTAGATAAAAATGGATTGGCAGGTCTCTCACTTTCTCTTCTAGGCTGCATTCCATATCTGGGGAAGTTTGAGTAGAATCCTTGTTGGCCATGGTCAGCACATGGTCTTTTTATCACCTTCCCTTGTGTTGCATTTTGCAGCTGGTGTTTAACACATGATTCATCCAAGGGAACTTCGTGTACATCCACAATGTGCTGCTTTAAGGAGACCACACGTCTTGATGGAGGTTTCTGTACTTGTTGTCTCAAAGAAGGAGCCTTTGCCATCCCACAGCAGAGTTTTTTGGCACTGTGAAAAGGAAGTGGCTGTCCCAAATGGTTTCTCTGTAGCTGCTCACGGGCCATTTTTGCCTGCTGCTTCAATCCTGAAAGTCTGCTGGCAGAGTAGTCGTATTCGAGGTTATTTTGCAGATGGGATTCTTATGGGAATAGGCAGAAAATATTTTTTAAAAATTGAATCAAAGGTTTAGCTGTCCTCATGCTATTAAGGAAGCTTTTATTGTGTTTGTTTTTTTTTAAACTCTGCATTCTAGCAACTTCCCAATGCTCTGCTTAAGGAGAGCCCAGCTCGCAGGATTTGAGTTAGTTCCTGTAGGCTGGCACAGTCCTCCCATGCATAGTGTGCATAGAGATCACTGCTTTTGTGGAGGCTGGAAACAAAAATTAATGTCTTACCTGCTCTGTATTTGATGTCCTTAGGAAGATCAGCAAAGCAAGAAGGTGTAGGGGGAGGCATGTACAGCTCTAAATGGCTTTAAAGGCAAATTCCCCCAAAGTTGTATCTTCCCCTCCACTTCTCCCTTGAACATTTGTTCAGTCTGTGAATGGGATTCATCTGAGCAACTGAGTGCTAATACAGTAATGTATTAGAATGCACATGCACTATTTTCAGGAGCAGCAGAAGTTCTTCCTACCCCTATTGTTCAAAACAACAGAACTAGTGAATCTACTCCTTCAGCTTTCACATTATCCCCTTGCTAATAGGTACCTGGTGCTGGAAGGAAAGAAGTTTTCTCACCTTTCAGCTCCAGAGCATCCTGGTTGTATTGAGCAGTTGCAGCAATATCCGTGTGTGTTTTCCTCCCCTTCTCCACTTGCCTTTGATACCTTTCCAGCTGCATTTGCTCTCCTTAGGAAGCCACAGCCTCATCTCTGACAATTTTGGTGTTACCCGCAGTGTCCCAATACCAATTTTGACCTTTCAATTAACTTCAGGATTGCCTCTTTCAGCAGACAAAATCTGTACAGATGCCAAAAGCCTCAGAACAGATTTGTGAGATTGGCTGAAAGACCATGAAGATTAGGGACATATTTTCCCTTTTGTCAGGGAAATCAACAGCAAAAGGCCCCAACAGAAGAAGGAAACTTTCCCACTGACCACAAATGGGGGCTTAAATTGAATTTTCAAGCCTTTAAAAATAAATCGTCATTTTGTATTTAATTAAGCAGGGTTTCATGAATGTGGTAGTATGCTGAGGTCATGGGCAAAAAGAAGCTTTTCCAGTAATTAGTGCAGGGTCCATGCTGTTCTGGCAAAAACAGCCATGATGTCAGTCTGAGGCTGGAACAAGAAACTGTGCCACACAGTGAACTTGAAACACAAACCTTATTATTGAAGGGGCATGTCTGACAACTGCAAGTTCTGGTTGTGTTGGACACATAATATATTTTTCCTTTTAAGATGCCAAAAAGGTGTTTGGTTTGGTGTTTGGTTTTCCCCCCTCCTCCCCCTTCAAGTTTCTGAGTCAATGAAATTGCTGCCATGCCAGGGCCTCCTTTCTCCTGTTTCCCCTGCCTAAATAAATAATGAAACTAACAAACTTGCAGCCCTCTTGTTTTGTAAATATGGAAAGTGGCCATTTCCATGTTTTTTTTATTTAGCAGAAGCAGCTTAGTTTTTAGTTTTGTCATGTGAACCCCAATGCAGGAGGCAGGTGCAGCAGTGAGCACACGCAGGGCATGCCCAGGCAAGTCCTGCTCTTGTAGCCATGTAAACCTTTGTTTTAGGTGAAATTTCAGTGCTTTCAGTGCAAGCCAAGTGTTGTGACAGCATTTGGAGTATGTAGTTTTGTGGCACTCAGATTCTAGTTTCTGATGAGTTGCTGGAGTCCTGCAGAGCTGCATAAGAGAAGTTTGTCCATATAACCTGGCTTTTGGTACGTTTGCAAAATCTTTTACTTAAATTACTTAAAACTCTTGAGCTTGCTTGTTGCTGAATATAAATAGCCTGGGTGGCTTATAGTTCTTGGGTTATACTGGGACAGAGAAGAGTTATACATATTTTCCTTTTAAAATCTATGAGAAATCCTTATCTCTGGTGATACATATAAATTGCAAATACAGTGTTATTTTAGAGCTGTGACCCTCAATAATTTGGTCTTGATTGAATGCAGAGTGTGTGTGTCAAAGGAATTGCTCAGTTGTGTTTCCTCAGCCCATGCCATTTTTCTTTTTTTTATCTTTTACCATTTTGTCTGAATTTTGTTTTGCAGGCCATGACTGCTGCGAGACAGTGAAGGTGGCACTTTGTGCCTCTAGAGAAGGTCACCCCGTTCTGGTTGTGGCAGAGGAGAGTTTCCAGTTTGTCCAGGACGAAGCTTATGATGCTGCCCAGTTTCTGGCCACCTGTGCTGGCAACCAGCAGGCGCTGAATTTCACACGGTTCCTGGACCGCTCCAGGCCACCTGCTGCAGACGTGGATTTCCTGGATGAGAAAGTGGCCTTGGCATTTCGACACCTGAAGCTGCCGGCAGAATGGAACGTGCTGGGAGCAGAGCAGTCCCTGGCCGGTGAGGACCCGTGGGGCACAGTGAGATTTGCAGGTTGGGAGAGAGGTAAAAAGCCTGGGAGAAAGGATTCCCTGCCTTGGGAACCTGCCCTGTGCCTTCCAAAGGGTGTGGTGGCCTCTGTGCTCAGAGATGGGATGTGATGTCCATCCACATCCCATATCTTGCCCTTCAGCCTCCTTAAAATAAATAAGGTATCAAATACATAATATAAAATAAATAATCATAACTCACTCTTTCTCCAGGTCTTCTCTTATGAAATAGCACGAGCTGACAGTCAGTATTTTCACATATACCCTGAAAGGGTTTTTTTGTGTGTGTAACAATGGCATGTGTGTCAGCACAGTGCTATATGCTGAAAGAACCCCCTGTCTGTAGAATATCTGATGCTTTTGGAAATATCCCTGTGCCAGAAATAGGTGCTTGCAGTAAATGTTGGTTTTATAGCACAGGTGCAAAACTCTATAACATGAAAAATACATGTGATTTTTCTTAGAGAACCTGGGGCTCTGGCCCTGAGGGTTTATATCACATCTCTGGTTGCACACAGGATGGGTTAACACTGCAGTTCCCCAAAATAAGCCTGGACAATTTTGCAAACTAAAGAAGGGAAGGGTGGGAAAACTTGACCCTTATTCACAGCAGTGAAGGCTACTGAGAGCTTAAAAATAAACCCCAGGTTGGCCCCAATTCTCGAGTGGCTGCTGAAGCAGAAGTGCTGAGGTGTTCAGGGTGCTATGGTGTGTCTGTGTCCTTGGAGTTCTGCTTATTTTGTCACAAGGGGGTAAAAGGAAACACACATGGAGACTAGTTCCAGTATGTACAAATCCTTGCTGTAAATTTTCAGGGTATTTTTGCAAATAGTTTCACTTCAGAAATGTGACTGTGAGGCATCTGTTATCTTTTATAAGATGTAATGGCACAAATACTTGAATAGGGCTGGGATGTGGCTTGCTCGGCACAGCAGGCTCAGTTCTGCTCACTGCAACACTTTTCCACAGGAGATTTTCCTGGTTTTTTTTTCCTCTTTGTTTTTCTTTGGGGTTTTTTTTTTTTTTTAAAGCTCAATACAAGGACAGGCAATTCCTGTGTTAGCAGACATTAAAATATTTGATCATATTTAATGGCTCCTTGATCGAAATTCAGCAGCTGTCATATGTTTACAAGGAGATAAACACTTGGTATTCTTTTCCTCTGTGTGGAAGTCACTGATGTTTCTTTTTGCATTTGAAAAGTGTTGTGATAATGCAGACATTTCTGGTTTAAGTGATATGAATATGGTCACAGTGATCTTAAAGAAAACTTTGAAAGTCTGAATTGTTGCTGATTTTGCAGGAAGGCTGAGATCTGGTTTCTCTTTTTGACTTTGATTATTCTTTGGAAAATCAGCACTTAGGGAAAGCAGACCATAAGATTTACATTAGTTTGCTCAGCTTGTGCTTTTTTGCCTGGAAGTTGTGGTTATTCAGGGCTTTTAATGTTAATGGACTTGTGGAGCATCTGTGGCATCCACAGTGAGAAGGGCGAGCTCTGTAGTGCCAAATTCTGTATATCTTTAGTGTTTTGGCATCTTGTGGTGAGGTGCGTGTAGATAGAAATGAATAATGTCACTAAATGCAAATTAATTCAAGAATATTAGTGCTATAAAATGTGTTCCTTTTTGTTAGAGGCAGAGTTATCTGGTAGTTTTTTTGCAGTGAGATATTTATACATAGGGAATTCGGGGGAATTTCCTGACTGTGACAGGAAGGATTTGCATACATAAGCATCCTTTTGGTCACAAAACTGTTTTGCTAGAGTGAGATGGAAGAGATGTCCCTGGTTTATAATGGAGCACTAGATTAGAAAAACCTCTGTGCTAAAATACAGCATCCTTATACTGGTGCTTGTGTGTTAATTCGTGTGTGGGAGAGAGAAAAGCTCTGCAAAGATTGCAGTGTAGGAACAATTAAGCACATTCTGGCCCATGCCTGCAGTGGGACACCCTGTCCTGCACTGCTTCACTACCTATGAACAGCTATTGCAATTCATGCTTCACATTTCCCTAAATGTCAGCACCAGATAACTCCCAATAACCTTCTCGATGGAGAAAATACTAAAGAAATGAGAACAAAAGAAAATGTCAGATCCTTTCTTGAAAGATGTTTAGCACTGCCTCTGAGCTGGCACGTCTCTATGGGCTCTTGTGGGCTGGAAACAAAACGCTGCTGTTCAGCAAAACCTCTGCAGGCAGGAGTCAGATCCCGGAGTGCCACAGCTGATGGGGAGCTGCTGCTCACAGGAGGCTGCTCTTGTCAAACACGTTTAAAGCTCGACTTTTCAAAGTCCTGGAGTAGGGGCCTAACTTCTGCAAAAGTTAGGAAGCAATGTCTTTCTGCAGGCAGAAGCTGGGTGCAAGATCTGCCACTGAGCACAACTCCAGGCTGAATTTTGAGGAGGGGGTGGCTTTGTGTGGAGGCTTCTCCTTGTTTTTGCCTGCACCCAGGCTTTGAGCAGAGGGCAGGGAGTTCACTGCTGTCACACAGAGAGGCTGCTCAAAGTCTCCTGAGGCTGCTGAACTCACCTGCTGTGTCACTGAACAGACACAGCTGCAGAACTGGGGCTGGGAGCAGCTGGGATACCTGACATCACAGGTCCGTGGGCTCCATCCTCTTGCTGGGACAGGCAGAGGGTACCCAGCCATGTGGTGGGATGGACTGGGAGGCAGAAGAGAGCCCGGGGCAATGGGGGGCTGGGGAAGAGCACAGTCCCTGAGACACAGCTGAGCTCTAACTAAGCATACACTGGCCCTCCATAGCAAACAGTTCTGGGCCTTGCTCTTAGTTATCTCTCTGTATGAACTCCAATGGCATCCACAATTTCAGAATATCCACAATTAAGGATTAGTCTTGTTACTGTGGTATTCCAAACACAGCATTTCTTTCAGGTGCCATATAATCATGTCTGTCTTAATAATTACAAGTGCACTGTAACTTTCTAAAGAACATAGTTGTTACTGCTGTCAAAAGTGGGGCTATTTACTGTTCTCAGTGGCATTTAAAGACAGCTATTTAAATGGAACAGATTGTTACACTTTATGTCTAGGAATCAAAATTTAATATGTATCCTGAGGATGTATGCAAAGTAAATACAGGACTGTGATGTTCTATTTTAAATTACTGAAGAGAAAATAAGCTAACTAGAAAACCACAACTGAATATTTTGATGTATGAGTAATGATTATGGCTTGTTTTTGTTGCAGTCGTTTAAAAAAAAAGGAGAAAAAAATCAGGGAGGATCTGAGGCTCAGGTATGAAAAGCTTAGAGAGCTTAATTGTTATCACTAGTAAACAGATCACTTTCAAAATAACTTGGAAGTAATATTCTGACAAAACTTTTGAGGAAGCAAAAAAAAAAAATTAAAAGTGAGTGGTGAAACCCAGAGCTGTGGTTGGTTTTTGATTGTGTGAGCTTTCAGGAGCTGGTTAATGTTAGCAGAGGGTTGCAGTGATCACCATGATATGGAGCAATTCCCCTGGGAGTGTAAGGGCTGCTGTGAGATAGTGAGCCAGGTTTTCAGGCAGATAACCAGGAGACCATCAGATTAGATAGAACACTTAACTGATTGCAGTTAGTGGTGTGTTGAATATGTAGAGCTTCCCAGAAGTGCTCCGGGATAAACATGGTCCTTCAGTAAGTACTGCTTGGGAAATTAAACTCAGTGACCTCACCAGGTGGGGGTGGATATAGAGGGAAACTCTCTGCCCTGGTTTGAAATAGTCTGAATGTATTAGGATTGTGGGTTTAACAGCTTCATTTACAAACCCAGTAGGATTTCGATGTACAGGGCAACATGAGTGTCACCAGGAATAGAGACCATAAATTGGGGTTTTTTTGCATGAAGGGAGAATGTCTGAAGAGAGGAAGTCACAAAAAAAATAAAAATCTTATTTTAAACGAAATATCTTAAAAAACCTTTTAAAATTTTTCAGAATTTGGTTATTAGTACCTAGTCATTTTTCCCATGGGAGGATGCTAAAGTTGTGCTACTGGTGATATATTTCAGGCATGGAGCTTTAATCTGTTCATCTGCTGCACTCTTGTTATAGTTTCTCTTGGAACCCTTTCAATGTAATAGTTACAGGTGTTCTTTTGGTTGGGTTTCATATCTTTTCCAGTCTGCTGCTCAGCTTCTGTGCTCTCTGATAAGGGATGGTATGGTATAAATCAGCATGATCTGTTCACTGCCAACAGCACAAAGTGCTCTGTTCAGCAGCAGTCCTTGATAAGATGTAAAATGTCTTTTCCAAAACTAAATTTAGTGCCCTCTGCAGTGGAAAATGGGAAGCAGAAAGCAATTCTTGTTCAGACAGCATCAGAAATGTGCTGCTCAAGACTGAGATGTACCATTTAGTCTGTGGCCAAGAAATTGTTGGCCTGAGAATGTTCCTGTTCCCTTTGATATTAGCGGGAATAGGGACATAGAGATCTTTTGGTGTGCTTTGAAAAATTTCTTGTTTATCAGATTAGGAAAGGAATTACCCACACATCTTTTTATTAACTGAGCTCATAACTCCAAACACAACATCTTTGCCTTGACCTTTCTGTGGTGCAGTTGTCTGGTGGAGCCTTCCTCGAGGACCTCAGTGTGAGGTGGCAGCTTGGTTGTGGGGTTTTTTACCCTTGTTTCTCAAGGGTTGATCTGAGCAGTGAGAACATTTCCAGCAGAAAGTAAGATTTTGAGGCCAGATGTGATGGTAGTTCTCCAAATTGCTGAGTGTCCCTGAGTTTGGGTGAGAACCAAGTAAAGGTCACAAGCACAGGAAGATGAAGTGATGCTATCCCATTCCATGGCTGGCTCATGAGATGTCTCAGCATTGGGGATAAACTGAGCATGAGGTGTAGGCTACTCTACCTGGAAAGTTATTTTAATAAAGGAACAGTAGGGGTTTTTTTGTGTTTTTTGTTATTTAATCAGGTTTAAAAGGAAAATTTTTATGTAGTGTTCTTGGGTGTGTCATACCCAAGTTGTTTTTTTTTTTTCATTCAACACTTATTTGTTTTGTGCTAATAGCACCTTAAACCTTAAGCCTTTACTATTGGCAAAGTACATATGACAGTCCTCTATGGAAATTTGGTCCTCAGTTGCACAGATAAACTGTCTGTTCATGTCTCACAGCAGAAAAAAATTACACAAAAATAATATATCCAAAGTCTTGTGTTTTGCCAGCTGGACTAGAGTACCCTGCCATTATGGGGCAATAATCATATGTTTCAACTCTTGCCTATTACTAGGAAACGAGAAAGGAACAAAACAGTCTTGGCCTTTTCAGTATCGTGTGTCTTGTATTTCCACAATTTCCTAATTACCAGAAGCTTCTTGTTGACATTCAAACTACAGCCATTTTAAGATGAGGAGCTCTTGCTTGGTATGTGGTAGGAGAAGGAGCTCTGGCTTTTGCATGTTAAGGCTTTTGATATTCTTTCATGCGTGGAACATTTTGCACCACAGCAAGATCATAAAATCATTGACTGGATTTCCAACATTTTGTGTGACAAGCTTCATCCCTTCAAAAGCAGGAAGTCTGAAGGGGTCTGTCTGTCTTCTTCTCCTCTTCATCCAGCAAAATGTCCATACTTGATGCAGACCAGCTCTTGTCTAGTTTTGAGCACCACCATACACCAACAGATGCATTTTCATTATGTATTAGTAGTTAATCCAGCTCACAGATGGCACATGCCTTTTTAACTGTCACCATGCAAGTTTTGCACACTCCAGAACCTTCCAAAGCCATTGCCTGGGGCCCCTGCAGTTGCTGGATGTACAGTACTTTGTCTCTTTGCTGCCATCATCTGTGCCCATCTGTTAGGGTGGCCTGGTGCCAGGTTCTATGTCAGGCAGAGCCTTCCAAAAGTGGATAGTGAGCCTGTGTGTTTAATATGGTCTGGTGGCAACATGCCACCTCTTCTTGTACAGATCCTGTGTGCACACTGTCACTGCCCAAAGGCATCAGGGCAGGGCCACGTTCACTTCAGTTGTGTTTGCAGACACCTCCATGCAAACTCTGGAACTACCCTGTCCACTTATTGAGTGATACAGAAGATTGTTTCAATAGAACAGGAAAGATGTTCTCTTCAGTCATATCAGCAGATTGTGACAACTGGGAGGGGCAATTTCATCTTTGGATGTATGAGACAGAGAGAATCATTTAGCTCAGGGACAAGAGGAATATCTGCCTGCATCTTGCAGAACTTGCAGTTGGTAGTGTGTGTTTAGTGGTGAACCATGAGCTGGTGAGCAGAAGATGCTGCTCCCTATTGGTAATGCTCTCACCTGCAGGAGGAGGAAGCATTTTGGCCCAGGGATCTGTGTTTATGCTTTGCAGGTCTGTGCTGCTCAGCTCTGGGGCAAGACTGTCTGTTCTACTTAGGAAGATGATTTTCTCTTTTAACAAAGCAGCCATAACAGGAAATCCCATGTGAGAACAGAACGTGGTCAGACCAGTGCAACACATTCTTATTTGGATAGCAGTTGTTTGCTCTAACAGAAGTGCTTTTGTGCCTCCTGCATCTCTGTAGGAAGAATTACACCAGGTTAATTATGTACAGGTAGTGTGGGAGCTTTGTGCATGTACAAGTTCTTTGAGTAAAATATTTGCTTTCACTCTGGAAAAGTCCTACCTGTGTCTACATTTTGCAACCTTTCTTTTGTGTCTGTCTATATGCTTTGTTATTTTAAATTTTTCTTTAAATCTAGGGCTGCAAACATTGATTAATGTCTATGTTGTGCTATTTCTAAATCATTACTCTCTGTAACATTTAATACCTAAATCCTTCTCATTACTTAGCCAAAGGCTGAGAATATGTTTCTGGGAGAACTCAGCTATTCCCTTTTCTCTGATCAGCTGGAACCTCCATTCAGACACACTCGTGTATTCAGGGCAGCTTGGTTTTGCTTTACAGTAATCAAGAGGAAGTTAGGGGGAAGACTTGGTTTGTAGCCCAAAGACGTAATTTGGAGTCATTCAGAAGAGAAATGGTGCCAGAAAGCCTTTGGTTCTTGCATACAGATTAGTTCTTCAGAATTTGATCCAAAGAGTTGTGAAAAATTGTGTGTGAGGTAGGGGAGAGCTGCCCGTTTTCGCTTTGTTTTGTTTTTCACGAAAGGTCTTAATGACGTCCCTAAAGTAAGTAAATAAGCAAGAAAAACAGCAGCACTTTGAAGAAGTGATTTCTCTTGGGGCACACTTCTTAAAGAAAAAAATACAAAATTAAATCCTAAAGCCATTATGTGCATGCATTTTAAAACCTGTTGTATAGGTTTGGCTGGCACCCAAATTAATAACCCAATAAATCATTTCTGTGATATTAAAAGGTTTATACCAAGTGTGCTCATTGGCATGGCTTTCTGAGACCCAGTTGGTGCTTTTTTGTTGTTGCTGTCAGTCAATACTGAAATCCTTTGTTAATTAAAAGAACAAATTTTTATTTCTTGCAGTTTTTTTAACCCAAATGCTTTTGCCTTTCATACAGAAATAACAAGCTTTGATCTGCAAATGCTGGATTTCAGCAGTGCATCTGGAGCTCATTTCTGGTTAAAGCTTTTCAGAGCATCATTCTAGGGCTGCAGCTTTTGGAGTAGGGGGATATTTTTCTGAGATGAATGCTCAGGCTCAAGAGTGACTTTTACCAAATTAGAAGGTCAAAGTTATTAAATAGAAAATGCAGCAGTGGAGATTGGTAGTTTATAAATGCTGCTACTGAGAATGAGAGAGCTACTGTATTAAGCTGAGGAAAGTTGATCTGAGGCATAATCGAACCAGGAAAGAAAATCCTTGCGCTTTTTTTTAGCTTTTTTTTTTGTTTGTTTTATTTTTCTATATGAGTTTTTAAACAGTTCTCTTTTTTATAACTGCTTTGGAGATGCGCATCAAATGTAATTGTTTTTTTTTTTCTTCATGCCTTGGGATAAATCAGCATCCTGTTAGATAAGAAAATTTGTCTCTCTGAAACCTGGTCCTGGCTGTGTGAGGAGAAGTATTGGGCATCCAGGAAAACCCACCTGACCATGCTTGTGTTCGGGTGTGCTGTAGCTTGGTGGCGGCTGTGGCTGCTGAGGAAAAGGTGGGGTTTTCACATTGACTTCTGTGGTCAGTCCCAGCATGAGAGGTCGTGAGCACTGCCAGTCCCAGCGAAGCGTGTCCCTCACTCCGAGACTGGTGTCTCCTGCATGCTGGCAGCCAGGCTGTTTTTCCAGGTGCTGCAGGTTCCTTTGGGCTCTCAGCTCCGCGCCAGCTGCTGTGTGGTGGGGCTGGGATGTGGGGATATAACATTCCCCTAACCCACAAGCCTGCAAATTCCCTTTTCTTTGTTTCTTTCTCTCCCTTCCCAGAGAACATCCCTCGGGAGACTCTGCTGCATTTTGCCGTGAGGCTGGGGCTGCTGCGGCTGACGTGGTTTCTGCTCCAGCAGCCGGGTGGAAGAGGAGCCCTCAGCATCCACAACAACGAAGGGGCAACGCCCGTCAGCTTGGCCTTGGAGAGGGGCTACCAGAAGCTGCACCAACTTTTGACAGAGTAAGGATGATTGGGTGGTTCCTCTGCCGGTTTTCCATTCTCTACCATGCTTGGCTTTGCTGTGGATTATCACTCAATGGTGTCTGAGGGCTGTACTCCATCCTTAAAGGCAATTTTGGTGTAATTTTGCTTTTACCGTTCTTGCTAGCAGCAGTGGGAGCAGTCCTGATGGTTTAGGGGAAATGCAATAATATTTTTTGGGGGGGTTTTCTTGTTGCTCAGTATTCTGCTTCCAGATGTCTTGAAAAGTCCAGAGTCACTGAACTTTTGACAAATTAAGACAAATCTTATGCAAACACAAATGAAGCTTTTCTTCAAGCAAGCACAACTGCCCAAAGGAGGGGAGATAACAGGCTTTGGGGTGGTGGACTGTTGTGTTCTTACTTTTTAGAGAGGGTGCTTTTTAATTAAATAAAATAATGATCATTATATTAAAATAAGGCAGCATCCTGTAGAGAATAGGCATTTTACCAGTGTAGGTTTAAAAAAAAACAAGGTAAGAATTAATGGAAATATTTAAAGGAGAACAGAATATTTAACAGAAATGACTCCTGCAGAGTGCAGGAGTTGGTGTTTCCTAGTGCAGTCTCTTGTAAATGGTCTTGAGAAACAGCCAGGTCTTACAACACAGAGCAAGTAACTAGTGGCATGAGCATTTATTGCACTGCTTTACAAGGAATCCTTTGGAAGATGGCAAGTTAGTTTTGAGCAGCACATGTTTGGAGTTCTAGCTATAATAGCTGAGGCTAATAAAGACAAAGAGCTTAAAAAATCTCAAGGGGCCTGTTTGTATAGGAGAAAAGATTTAGTCTCCGTGTGTGTTATTCTGATGCCTGGTTCTCTTAAGCTTTGTTATAAACTTGGTGTTTCTGAATTGACTGCTCAGATACTTGGGGTTTATGTTGAGTGACCCAGTGTCATGTTAGGAGTCTGCTGTGTTGTCCACATTATCACGCAACATCCCTTGTTAGGAATTGTAAATTATTCTGCTTTCTGTAGTTGTTGGGTGCAGTGCTGGGGGGCAGAAAATTTGATCTGTATTGCTGGAGTGATTGCATTTAAATTTTTTATCCTTAAATTCAGGCGGCCACATGGAAAGTGAGGGTGAAGGAGAAGGTGCAGGGTGGGATGGGACCTATACCCAAATACCTTCCTGCCACCCTTGCTGGCATCAATACAGAGAAGATGACAGTGTTACGTTTTTCTCCATCAAGGTCAACAGTCACACTGTGAAAACACAACTGTTTCACGGGCTATATTGTAAAAAAGGGATGTGCAAATTCATCCTGTAACTGCAGCAAGGTTCTCCAAGGTGAGACTAACCACATTAACAGGCTTTACATACAGTCAGGAAGGTGAAGCTGGCCAAAACTTATTATAGAGCTCACAGCAAATACTGCAGCCTGAATGTGAGTAGAGCTGGTAATTTAAATAAAAATGGGAAGTAAACAAAACGATTACAACAGCTATTCTTGTATTGGATGAATTATTTCACAACTGGCTCCAGTTTTGGAATGGCAGTTCTCACTTAGTGGAATGAAAAAAGGACTGGGATTCCCTGACATTGTCCTGTGCCATTGGCTTTAAAGAATGCTGCTGGCCCAATCCATGGAATTTCTCTGATGGCCTTTGCAGTTTGTCTTTGAAAATAAGACACAAGCAACTGAAGAAAAGTTACCATCAAGGTCCCAATTCTTGTTCTTGGTATAGCCTTAAACTGTTCTTTGTGATTTGTTTTCCTCTTGGCTTGCTGGGTGGAAATGCAATGTATAAACATCTGACAGCCATACCACAGGTCCCTTGGTGAAAACTCTTCGATTGCCATGAAGCCCTACAAACAGAAATCCATGGATGCTGGAAATCCTGGTTCCCTTTCTGAGTGGGTGGGATGGTGGTGGAGCATTGTGATAATGACCTTGGGACCAACTGGAGCAGTGACATGGGGATGGCCACAGCCCTTCCCCACGGGAGGGTGATGGTGACAAAATGGGCACATCCTGTGATTTTTTTTTTATTATGCTGAGCATTTTCTGCAATAAGATGGGATCGAGACTTGAAAATCCCTGTTGGGAGGAGAAATACTGAACGTCAAAGCACAGAAAATTCCATTAAGAGAGTGAGTGTCATTTATGTGCTGTCAAAACACAAAGGCCACTGCACAACCTCTTTTCTGCCCTCTGCCTATGCTCTTGCTGTATAATCCATGCACACAAATTTGGCACACAGCTTATACCACTCAGCAAAACACAGGGCAGCAACGCATGCTAGTGAGGGCCCCTACAAAGGAGTCATTATTTTTACAAGTAATTAAACTGCACTATGCCAAATAAATGAATGCAGAGTGTTTTGTGATGCATTATCCTTGGGGGGAATTTATTGTTTTCTTGCTTGCTAATTTGCAGGACCCTGCATTTTACAATGATTCTCCCAGCCAGCATTGGGAAGGGGTGAAATTTTGCCATAATTAGGATACAATCATTAAAGAGCAGACATAAAACCTTCCCTGTTGTTGTAGTTTTGCCTTGGTTTGTCTGCAAAGTAACCTGATTCAGCTGCAGTGTAAATACTTTTCTCAAAAACTAATTTCACTGGTGACATTTTGAATTTCTGTTTATCTGATGAACTTTGCCTTCTCAGCTTTGGCAGTACTACATGTAAAAAAATAATAATAAAAGGTGCTTCCTATGCAAATTTTCCATCCCTGGAAGTATTCTGTTCTGTGGTGTGCACTGGCTTTTCATCCTCAGACAGCAAAGGTGCATGGGCTGGTTCTTTGGAGACCCAAACAAGGAGCTGCCACAGAGCCCATGTAAGTCGCCAGGGACTGAGAGTCAATAGCAGAATAGAATAGAATATATTGTTAAATATTCACCTAAATAAAGAAATAATACATAAAATAAATAATAAATAAACAAGTATTCATCATCGATAAACGTTCATCACTTGTGTATCATTCCTGAGGGGACTTGTTTTATCTCAAGATGAAAACTGTGCAGTAAATAAACGGTGTCCTGCAGTGCAAATGGAATAGGATAGTGCAGAAGGGCATTAGTTTTATAGGGGAAAAGTATATATAAAGATTTATATGTAAAGATAACTTCAGAAATGGTGCAGTTTGCAAGGCCTTCTTAGAGTTTCAGCTGTTTCCAGAGTGGAGGTCTGTGGCTGAAGCCTGTTTCTCCACGGTGTTGGAGCTGGGTGATGCTGACTGCAGGCTGCTGGCTCTGGAGAGGCAGCACAGTCATTAAACAGGCTGGTGGCACTCTGTGAGTAGCTGGACAGCTGCAGAGTGCAGGAGTTGGTGTTTCCCAGTGCAGTCAGGGCAGTAACACAATCCCCTGCCAGCTCCATGTTCTGCAGGACTCTTACAGCAGTGGGGAAAATGGCTTCAAGGCACCAGGAGCGTGCAGGATTGCAGAGAGCTGCTTTGTAAAACACACAAACACTGATCTGGTTGCTGCTTTTATTTCTGTCTGGTAACATTTCTTTCCCCAGCAAAGCCAAATGCTTTCATTCACAGCCGAGAGTGATTTATGTCCTCTCAAAAAGGGAAGCGAGAGAAAAAGAAAGCCTATTTAAAAAAGAAAAATAGAATTACACTTTTCTAATCCCTGCAAAGAGTTGCAACAGTCTCTGAGTTTTTTACTGTAAACTTTTTTTACTTTTGCTGGTTTCTCTGCTTTTTGCTCTAAAGTGTTTCTGCACATCTCTGGGATTGCTCTTCCCTTCAGATTTCCTGGTAACAATCAGGAGGCTCAGTCTGTGAAACTGTGAATTAGTACAAGTCTGTATTTCCAAAATTAAAATGACTTAATTAACACACATGAGGAATAACTCACTGGTAGCAGAAGGGTTTTGTGAATGTTTTTCAATCCATGATTATCACTTGCTATTGTTCTGATTTTACATAAGTAATTGGTGAAGTCTGGGCTGTAATCTCCGTGGTGCCTCTCAAATAAGGATGCTTTTTCAGTGACTTTACTTTTATAGCTAAAGACACTTTTCTGCTTTTCTGAGCCAGATCTGCAAGAGGATTTGCCTTGTACGTTCTTTTTTTTTTTTTTTTTTTTGCACCCCGATTTAGCAGGCCCTTTAAGCAAGTGTTTAAATTCAGAAATACCCAGTTTATGTTCAGCAGAGTGTTAAGCATAATCTTGAAATCAGTCACATGGTATACATGTATTTTATTTCTGGCTAAGCAGAATCAGAGGCTGTAAGGTTTATTGAATTAGTGCTGATGTTTCTCCATCTGTTTTTCACTCCTAACCAAGCAACAAATCCATTTGATTGCTATTTTGGGAGCTGGATTTGAGGTATGGCTTGCTGTGGTGTGGCAGGAGAACAGTTGACTTTGTATCTACAAGTGATGGCACAAGATTAATGGGTTGAGAGGGATAAAAAAATGTTAGAAGGGCACTGAAAAAGGACTCAGAGGTGTGTGTTAAGGAGATGCTGTTTAGCTACAGACAGTAATGTGTCTGGAGCAGTGTGGGAGGGCCAGTGGTCTACAGGGTCTGGTTTTGTGGTGTAGGATTTTCAGCTGAAACACCACCATTTAATAACTTTAATATCATGATTAGAAAGATGCTGAGGTGCTGTGGGTTTCTTTTGGCACAGCAGAGGAGCAGACTGGGAGTGGGAGGATGGGGCAACCAGGTGTGAACGTGATGGAGCAGGAAGAGTTTGTGTTTCTCTCTTCCACCTACTCACCCCACATCATGCTCCAACTTTTGCTGACTTCCTCGTGTATTCCCACATCCTTATGAAGAGTTTTCATTCTTTGGCCCCCCTCCTTTCCTTTGTTTTGTATGTAACCTTATCTGAATACAGAAGAGAGAGAAGGCTTAGTCCATGTGATAGAAACAGCTTTTAATGTTTCTCTATTCGCACTCGGAAATTGTGGTCCTGGGAGATCATGGAAACAAACCTGTGAGGATGAGAAAGAAGAGATTTAGAAGAGATTTGAGAATATTTGGTAAGATCTAAGAAGAAATTGCTTT